TCTTTCCCTCTCTCCCTCCTTCTCTCTCTCTATATATAAAATATATAAATATATATGTATATAAAACAAACTGATCTTTGTCCATGAAGATACTGTAAAAATTGATACAGAAATAAAAGACAGATGGTTTTCACAGTTGTAGAGTCGGAAAGTGCAGTTACCCAAATACTCAAACCTAAATTGCCTTGCCTGTTCAGCCAAAAGAAGAGTGTTACAATTAAATTATTAAGTGACAGTCTTATTGGCCTGACTGTCCTGGAAGTGTCTTCGTCCTCTTTTTTACCTTCCTTGAGTGACCCACCACGCCTTGAAACTCAGACCTTCACCACCTCTGGGTTTTTTTCTTTGTGAAATGCAGCCCAATTTTGACATGCTGTATAACCACGTGAAGCGGCTCCTCTCCAATGAGCTGCTCCTGACACAGATGGAGAAGTGTGCCCTCATGGAAGCCCTGGTTCTCATTAGTAACCAGTTCAAGAACTACGAGCGTCAGAAGGTGTTTCTAGAGGAGCTGATGGCACCCGTGGCCAGCATCTGGCTTTCTGAAGACATGCACAGGTAGGGAAGATCCTTTGCCCTTGCCCTTGACTGCACTTGAGTACCCATTCTCTTCTAAGACTGTGTCCGGGGTCGGGGTGTAAGGATATCGAGGTGTAGTGGCACTACCAGTGATAGCTGAAGGCCTCTAAAACAGGGGTCCCCAACCCCCGGGCCACAGACTGGTACTGGTCCACTGCCTGTTAGGAACTGGGCTGCACAGCAGGAGGTGAGCGGCAGAGGAGAGCTTCATCACCGCTCCCCATCGCTCGCGTTACCGCCTGAACCATCCCCCATACCCCCCCGACCCCGGGTCTGTGGGAAAATTGTCTTCCACGAAACCAGTCCCTGTGCTGCCAAAGAGGTTGGCACCGCTGCTCTAAAAGCAGTCTTGTAAGTAAAATGCCGAAAACATCACCTTGCTCTGCAGAGGCGTAGGAACAGAGACGAAATGACTAAGATGGATAGTGTGGGTTGGAACGTCACAGAGTGAGGTCTGCTGTGGTGTCTAATTGCAGCTTCAGCACATACAAAGAAGTGAGAACAGCCAGTAGGGCCATACAAAGTAGGAGCTGCACAGACACCCCTCTGTGCCCACATAGCCTTCTCAAGTTTTACCCTTTTTGATTCTTAAAGTGTCACTAATAACATTTAGAAGTGGGAAGAGAAGTTAATAAATCTTCATATGACAGCTGACAATTTGATTAGATTCCTCTCACTGTAACAGCTGCTCTTTGGGGGTCAAATAATCACAGCTTATTAGCTCTTGAGGAAGAAACTATCCTTGCTTAAAATCATGCTGTAACTTGTCTTTCCCCCACCAACCTTTAGAGTGCTGTCAGATGTTGATGCTTTTATTGCCTATGTGGGTGCAGATCGGACAAGCTGTGACCCGGGCCTGGAGGATCCCTGTGGCTTAAACCGTGCACGAGTGAGTAAGCCTCTCCTGGGATAGGGAAGGTGCGTAGGCCACGGGTAGGAGTAGGGTGTTGTCATTTGTCCAGGTTCTTGTAGACTTATGTTTTTTTGTATACGAGCAAGAAATCTGGGAATCTCCACTTCCGTTAGTGTCTCCTTTCTTTTCTTCTTTAGTCTTAAATTCTTGAGTTAGTTCTCACAGCAGAGCCGGTGGTCTTTTCTATGAAGTCATTATTCTGGCTTTAAGGATCTGTAAATAGCTTGGAGGACTGAAGATGTAATGAGGAAGTAGGTCAGAACTTGGTCAGCAGGGTGGGTTCTCCCTGCCTTTGCTCTCTGGCAAGTAAAGTCCTAAGTGGTGGCCTAACTTGCAAACCTGAGATTTTCCAGTTCTTTGCTATTCAAATAAGCATTGTTCCTGGCTCCATTATGGCAAAAGTCTTATTAATTAACCTGGCAAGTAGTCAATTGGTAGAAAGTACTATGAGTGAGGATTAGGGCAAAATCTATGAAGGCCTAAACTGGAGGATGCAAGGCCAACTCAAAAACAAGATGAAATGTTGGCAGGGTAAATACTGTTTTGAAGTATGTCCAAGCCACCTTCTAATTGGGGTCCTGTAAGCCTCTGGAAGGATATCCTCATGAAAGGGAAGCTTTTAGAGCCTACCACTGGTGCTGAAGATGGCATTGAAAGGATCCCTTTTGGACTTGACCTTAAAGGAAGGGACAGGGATGGGGACGGGGTTGGGGGCGGGGGGCGCGTCTTTTCCTTTTGTCCAACTTCTATGTCACCTTTACCATAATCTTGCAAATATCTAATAGCACTTTTGTCTTTTCTTCCCCTTTTATATTTACCTTTCATTTTTATATTTTTCTGTAGATGAGCTTTTGTGTGTACAGCATTCTGGGTGTTGTGAAACGAACTTGCTGGCCCACTGACCTTGAAGAGGCCAAAGCTGGGGGATTTGTGGTGGGTTATACACCCCCTGGAAATCCAATCTTCCGTAACCCCTGCACAGAACAGATTCTGAAACTTCTTGACAATTTGCTTGCCCTTATAAGGTGAGTCAGAATAATGGTTTTTCTCTGTTGTATTTAAAACTTTTTGCCTTAAAAATCTCAAAAGCTTAATTTGTTTATACTTCAGATCATATGGTGATAAACGAGAGATTAGGTCTTGTTTAGTTCTAGAGGGACTCTCCTTTTTAAAAGTAACATGGACTCTCACTTTTGTTGTTGTTGTTATAATTTTATTTTATTTATTTTTGGCTGCATTGGGTCTTCGTTGCTGTGTGTGGGCTTTCTCTAGTGGCAAGTGGGGGCTACTCTTGGTTGCGGTGCACGGGCTTCTCTTTGTGGTGGCTTCTTGTTGCAGAGCATGGGCTCTAGGTGCACAGGCTTCAGTAGTTGTGGCTCACAGACTCTAGAGCACGGGCTCAGTAGTTGTGGCACACTGGCTTAGTTGCTCCATGGTATGTGGGATATTTCCGGACCAGGGCTCAAACCCGAGCCAATGTCCCCTGCATTGGCAGGCGGATTCTTAACCACTGTGCCACCAGGGAAGCCCCAGCTCTCACTTTTATAAGTCTTGCACCCCAAGTGAACACATGGGGGCTAATCTCAAAATGGCTTTTCTCATTTTGAGCCTCCTCTGTGTTCTTTTACTTCTCTATACTTCATTTCTACTTTTTACTTTAAGTTTCATTTGGTCTAAAGTTTTGCCAATAAAGGAATTGTTCATTGGGAGCAGGGCAGTTGCTTTCTGTAGTGGTGCTTCTCTGGGTCAGGTATTCAGACGAGCTAATCTGAATTTATCAGTAGTGACTGTGTTCTCAAATGGACCAAACATCCAGTGGCTGAACATGTTAAAGGAAGGCATGATACATGCTCCACATCAGAGTCCTAGGTTTTTACTTCTCAAAGCTGAGTTCTCAGACCAGCAGCATCAGCAGTCACCTGAGAGCTTGTTTAAAATGCAGTATTAGGGCTTCACCCCAGACATACTAAATCAGAATCTGCATTTTAACAAGATCCCCAGGTTGTTTGTGTGCACATTAAAGGTTCAGAACCACTGTTATAAATCACATGAGCTAATATAATCAAGCGGAAGTAGGCCAAGTCTAGGCTTGTTGGTTACTCAATATATGTTTGATGATTCAGGGATAGATGCTCTCTACAGTGAAAGAGAGCCTTTGGAGAAAATCAGTTTTTACTGGCCAAAGCAAAATTTGATTGCTTTTTACATCTCCTAGTGTTTCTGAGTTCAGGTTAGAGCTCTGTTCCACTGTTTTTTGTCCTCTTACCCAGGGTGTTAGAGCGGAGTCTCAACTGAGTAAACCACATTTACTTTAACATAAGTAAATCAAATTGCTCATGTCTCAGGGATGCTCTGCTGACAACAGACACCCTGGACCATATGTTTAAGAATCCAAGGTTTTAAGTTAATGTTGACCAAATTGGAGGGCTGGAGTGTCTGAACAAGTTGTCATTGTGGACATGTCTATGGAAATAGACAATACTTTGCTCTGATTTCAAAAGGAGGAAAAAGATTTCAAAAAGAAGTATGGGTTACATGTTGAGAGGGTAGTAAAATATTTAGTCAAGGAAAAGTTTGTCTCCATATTGATGTTTTTAAGACCAAAAGGATCTTCTGTAGTTTAGAGAAATGGAAAGTGATGAAGTCAGATAGCAACAGACTCACTGACTTTTTAGGCCTGTGGCCAGAGTCCCTGTGGTGGGAACCTAGACCTGGAAACAAGGTTCATCCCTGGTTAGGTGAGGAGACAAGAGATTGTCATCTTGATATTTTTCTAAGAGTACAACACTTTCGGAAAATCCCAAAGTCAATCAAAAGGTATTTTGAAAAATGCTGACTGTAGTTAATGTAGTTAGATTCCCTGAGTAGTGTGCAGCTGGAGCTATTAGAGTTTTGTCTTGTTTTCGTAGTAAGTTTTATCTTGAAGTATAATGTTAAGGGTACAAATATACATAAGAAAAGGACACAAATTGTGAGTGCAGGTAGATGAATTTTGACAAAGTGAACACCTCCATGTAATCAGCATCCAGATCAAGAAACAACCTTCCGGGCTTCCCTGGTGGCGCAGTGGTTGAGAGTCCGCCTGCCGATGCAGGGGATGCGGGTTCGTGCCCCGGTCTGGGAGGATCCCACG